GGTTGCCTCTACAGCAACATTATAAGGTGGTTCACTTAAAGTAAAAATATGGCTACTTTAAATACTTAAATTAAAAATGTGGTGATAAATCTTCAGGGGTGTGGGCAACAATGCTGAAGTGGAAACTCCAAGTGGTTTCCATATACTCCACTTGATCAATCAAACCTTCATTGATTGTGCATTGATTGCTTTCAGGGCCAACTTCAGGGGAATTCCCAATGCATTGTCTTTTTCCTGCCTTGGCCTGTCTTTCCCTGACAATGATAGCTTTACAAGGGATGGTCAGAGCTCTGTATCACGTGGTCCACCTGTAAAGACAGTCACAAGTTTAGAACTTAGCTGATTTGGAACTCTGTCCTCAACCTCTCATTGGTTGGCAGGACTCAGCAGATGAGATTTCTGTCTGCAGGGTCTTTGATCCTGGAACACCCTCTGCTATCCACTTAATGTCTGAGTGGTACTTCATAGTGCAAACCTTTCCCATTTCAGGCAACACAATGTCAGGCACTCATTGGCTTTCCAGCTTGTGGGAAGAAGACCCATTTTTGGAATAAATATCACCAAAAATCATGATGTACTTTACAACATCCTGAAGACGCAGTATTTGTTTATAGCTTCAAAGGGCACTTTCATTGGTACAGAAACAGGAAGGGAAAGAACCATAAAATTTTCTCAACAATATTTTTTGGTTTTTGTCTCTTCCTCCCACTCACCCAGCACTGACCCACCATGTCCAGTAATCTTTAGACTTGTTTGTACCCCTGGTCCTATTAGTTTAAATAACAAAGTAAAGCACTATGATAGGGTCCATATTATTGATGCTTGACTGCATTAATACTACCTAAAATATTTCTATTGATGAAAACTAAAACCGAAAGCTGAGCCAATAAATAAAGTCAAATCCAAAACAGAACCAAAAGAAAGATATAACAAGTCCTGTGCAGAAAACTTTGCCTGAAACATCAAAACAGAGCTTTTGACAGGGATGGAACCACCTTAAAACTCAATGATCCAGCAATGCTCCTTTCAGGATCCTAATAAAATTGAGTTTGACATTCTCCATTATTTTCCTTGTCAAAGCGTTAAACAGCCTTGAATTGACACTAATTGAGCCATCTCAGAGCAGAAAGGATGCCTGTAGAAACCGTGGGAAATGAAATATCATTGTAGTGTGGTAAGGGATACTTGTTTGAGACTTCAGTTAGGGGACATGAACGTGTCAATGTGGGAGGTAGGTGGTGTTACTGTACCTAGTAAGTGTAGATCTGCTACACAGTGCCTGATACTGTTATTAAGTGAATAATTTGAAATGTTTCCATTCCCATAGCTGTAACCCCCTGACGTGCAAATTGTGCAGAATATTATATTCAATATGTAGAATTAAAGTACTGGTGGGGCTACAAGGGTGCTTTGTATCATTGAAATTTTTTTTTGAAACTCTATAGCAAGCATCAGGAATGGATTTACCAACAGAAATGTTAAAATATAAATTATTACCAATTGAAAAAGAAAAGCTTGCAGCCCTTTAATTGGTGCTGAAGGGAACATCATTCTAAGCAGAAAATCTTCCGAACATAATAGATGGTTTTTGAAAAGCAAAATGCAAATGGAGCTGAGTTTTCCCAGGCCTGTGGAGATGAGATTGAGGGTGGTGGGAGATTTCTCGGAAGGTATTGTGTGTGTCCGTTGGAACAGCTCCCTGGTTCTTCCCCATGTCTGATTAATCTTCTTGGAGTTGATTACCATGGGAATTTGCTTTATAGAGATGGGCAGCCTAATTACCCAACCAAAGTTCCATCAAGGTCATTTATGCCATGCTGACAGAACTTTTCCAGTTCTGGAAAGGCCCCCAACTGAGTCTGAAAGCTGTATGGATTTCGTCTCCCGGTGGCAGGACCAATAGCCCTAAAAGCTCTTGGGCTATTTTTAAACAACATGTTCGTCTGCTATCTTTAAGTACCCCTATTTGAGGGATCACCATCCCCACATAACTCCACCAGTAGGACTCACCTCTCCCAGGGCGGTTCCAACTGTCTATTGTCTCAAGTGGTCTCTTTGGGCCTCCTACGTTCTCACACCACCCGCCATTCTTATTTGGTCAAAGAATGGGGAAGGAGATCACCTCACACAACAGAGCTCTGGTGGGAGCGCTGAAGCCTGCACAACACGGGCGGAAATGTCTGTACAGTCGGTTCTGCTATAACGCAGGTTCCATCAACGCGACTTGGCTGTAACACGATTGATGAATAGGGGAATGCTATTGCTAAAACACAAACTTGTGTTGGCAGGACACGATTCCATCAGTGCGCAAAGGAGTACGCATTGACATCACATGATCACGGGCTTTGTCACAAATACGTACAATGTCAGCGCCACAAGAGTCTCCATGCCAGCATCACATGATCAATTTGTGGGCTTTATTGTGAAGTGCTTTCTGTGAGAGATACAGTACAACCTGTTCCCCCATCAAGTCATCTTGACATTTTTCCAAGGTAAAGTGTTGGATTTACTTTTATTTCATTATTAGGTATGAATTAAACATTTATTTAAATTGTGCTATCCTTTGTGTTAGGCTTTTGAGTGATTTTTGAGCGATTTTGTGTGATTTTTCTTTGGTGGCCTGCCCCAACCCCACTTTACCCATAGGCCCTGTAATTTCTATAGCGCGATTTTCTACAAAGCGATGTTGTGCAGGAACATAACTATCGCATCATAGCAGAACACATACTAGTCCAACTCACAGTCCTCAAAATGGAGTTCCAGTACGGCCAATATGTTCATTTCCATGTATTAATGGGAGTTTTTACTGTTTATTGCTGCTAGGAAGCTTGGAACTGATACGAAAAGGGTAGCTTTATGTAACCTCCAATGGTGAGAAATGTCATGTCATATCATGACTTAATAAGGCAGGATGAGAAGTGCCAATTTCCTAACAGTGAGTTGAGATGCAGAGATAAAGTCAGTGGCATGTTTGCAGAAAGTCAAGCATAACACTGGCCTATGGTGGGCTCATACAAGGAATAAGTTTCGATGTCATGAGCATTTAGTAAAGTCAGTTTTCAATGAACCCCTGCCTTCAAAATAAAGTCACTGTTATGAGATTCTTGTACACCCAGTCTGTGACTGTTTAAAGGTGATGTGTCCCTGTTGGCTTTGTTCAGTTGTATGCAAGGTCAGTGGTTTTTCTTTTTGAACTCTATGGCATAAAGGAGGGGAGCAGGAGAATGGATTTGTCTGTCTATACAAATGTTGCCTTACCTGCTGGGCTCTTAACAGCATATTCTGTTTTTGTTCTGCATTTCTGTTACTTGGATCTCAGCTCTGTCTTTGCTTGTCAAGGAAAAACGAGGGCACTTTAGAAAATCTGTCCTATTTCTAAAAGATTTTTCATATACAACAGTAACAAAACCTAATATAAAGAAAGCAAAAAAAAAAACTCAAAATAAAACCAAGTAAAGGATTAGATAAGGAAAACGTTAATGAAGAGGAAATAGTAGCAGTCAAGAGCAATAGGCAACGTGACCAGTAGGAATGGGACCAGTAATCCCCTCAGTCTGAAGTAATGATAGTGTAGTTAAAAACTTGGCAGCATGGGTTTGACTGGAAGAGAATGTCAATAAATGGAAAAATTAAAGTAGTAGCTATGGAAATATTTGTGGAGACTGGAAAAGATTTTTGAAATAACCAAGGAAAATTTTAAACGATTTAAGTCGTTGGAGAAACTTTCGTATGTGTTTGTAGCTGGACAGAGATTCTGCCACATCCTCAAACACTTAGAATCAAAGGTTAGTTTTACTTTTTTCATATTTTATGAAATTAAGGTTGAACCAATCAGGTAAAAATTCCAAAGTGTGAACAAGAACAAGAACTGGAAAATCGCCCTGTTGTAAAGTTGCCCACTCCCATTCGGAATGTGCACCACCTAGTCCCTGTTTCCACGTGGAAGGAAACTCTGAAAGGGACATGGGCCCAGAATTTCCTGCTTGAAGTGAAAGAATTGCAGTGAGCGTGTTTCATTGTGTCACCTCCCTCGTGACCTGGAGCAGGATAACTTCCACAATCACACCCATCACACCTCTTTAAGTATGCAAATGATACATTGAGTACATTATTTGGTAGTCGCAAGTAGGGCAGAAGTGTTTGCCACTGCCGGAGTTTTTCAGCTTCCAAAGATATGATGACGTATTTAAAGCCCAGATGGAGACCATTTCAGACCCTATAGGCTAGGCATTGCCCTCACACTGCTCTCCTCGAAACTCTGACCAGAAAGATCTAGAGGCACTGTTTGATGAGCCAATGGAGAGAAGGTCAGTCTTTCACACTGACTCAACAAAAGGCCACTCATCCAAGCCAACCCAGACAGAGATTGCAGCACTGGTCAGTGTTGTGTTTATTAAATCCCTGCAGTGCAGATAGAGACCATTTGGCCAATCAAGTCTGCACCGATCATCCGAAAAATATCCCACACTACAGGGCAATTTAGCATGGCCTTCCACCTAACCTGCATATCTTTAGACTGTGGGAGGAAACCCGAGCACCTGGCAGAAACCCACACAGACACGGGGAGAATGTGCAAACTCCACACAGTCAGTTGCCCGAGGCTGGAATGGAACTTGGGTCCCTGGTGCCGTGAAGCAGCAGTGCTAACCACTGTGCCACCGTGCCGTACTTCATTGTGAAAAGGGCCACCCAACAGTGCAGAGAAAAGATCAATGATTTCCTGTGCTCTGCAAGGAAACAGGCATCATCATTTCTCAACTATTTCACACTCTAAAGGCCATCACTCACTCGAACTCTGCCACAGCACACATATCACACAAAAGATGAACTATCACCCTTAACATCACATATATCATTCCCATTCCAGGGCTTAAAACCACTTCACCCATTACAACTACAAACTCTTCCAGCTCTTGCTCAGGAGGAAGAGGAAGAAAACATGCTGAGGGCACATAGACAGGATTGGGTTATTGTAAATGAGACATCACTTTATATATTTTCACATGCATTGTTAAAATGTCTACTGTGGTATTATTTTCAGTCTAGATCCTCATTAATTCATACGAGAGATGAGGAGCCTCTTCATTGATCCCAAGGACGTAAATGCTGCAAAACATAAAAAGGTGTCAAACATTGCCCATCTCTTATAAGCGAGAGACTTTGGCTGCAGATAGCCTCATACAACAAAGATTCTTGAACCCTAACTCTGTGCTCTGCAGCCTAAACATTGCACATGAATGTGAAGGACACTGTAGCTAAAGGCAATGTCCAGAGAATGTGCAAGGGCCTGGCTTGCACACACCCCTTGAGATTTACAACAGGTGAAATTACAAAATCAATGATGATTCTACACTTCTCGAAAGGGAAACATTGTTCTTATGTATGGGCTTTTCAAGGGAGTACAGTGACATTCAAGTCTAGGAAATTTTCAATGGACAGCTCACATGTGTACTGTTTCTCAGCACAGTGGTCTGCACAGCATAGCTGCACAAAGCACTGCCTCCCTCAGGTTAGGTGTTGCCATAGAAGGTGATCAATCATGTCAAACCAACTTTCCATGCACTCTAAAACATTGAAGGGATGCAAATGAAGGAAGGATCAAAAGGGAGCTTTCTCAGGATTTGTCAACTAGATGGCTCTCACGAAGGACTGAGTTACAGATGACTCATATGTCATATCCCCACAGATGGTTTCAGAACTCCATAGGTTTAGCACTCTGCAATTTAAGTCACTCACTGCCACATTTTCCTTAATAGTGATGCAAGGCAACTTAAGCGTGGCTACTTTAACATTGCTTCAACTGAAGATATCATTTGCACATTAATATGGATAATGTAATATTTAACTTGCAATCTGAAAGCGAAAGAACAACAAACCAATAAGTTAGACATTTACTTTACACCAAGCAGTGGGCTGCCTGCCAAATGAGCAATGCAGATGCACAAACAGAAGAAATCAGATTCCTGTTCATTTATCCTGGGAGCAGATGCTAATAAAGGATGTCACTGGCCTGTCAGGCTTTCTGACACATTGCTCTGTCCTCCTCCCATGGACAGCTCTCCTGGATATTCTCTTGATCCTCAGCTCTATCTTTAGATGATTGCTCTCACTCACCCCATTTCATCCACGTCCAAGAAATACTCTCTTTTACAGCTCAAGACATGAAGAGCACAGCATATCACAATAATTTGAGATACTCAATCTGGTCTCTGCTGCAAAAACCTGCTGCAGTGTTTCACACATCGAAAGCATACCTTCACCTTCCCTGATGGAAGAGTGAGCATCATTGTGTCTTAGATCTATGTCTATCTGTGGATTTCTTATCAGGAGTCATGACCCACTTTTGAAGGGGTGTCTCTTGTCTCCTAGAGAACATCCTTGTATGGGCAGAGGATCTTGATAAGAAGCAGGCATCTCTGTATGCCCCAAAAAGCTCAAGTTTTTCTTATTCATTCATGGGATGGGGGCATCGCTGACTCGGCAGCATTTATTGCTCATCCTTAATTGCCCAGAGGGCAGTTGAGAGTCAACTACATTGTTGTGGGCCAGGAGTCACATGTAGGCCAAAACAAGTGAGGATGGCAGTTTCCTTCCCTAAATGACATTAGTGAACCAGATGGGTTTTTCCAACAATCAACAATGGATTCACAGTCATCCTTAGACTCTGAATTCCAGATAATTCTTGGTTCCAAATTCCACCATCTGCTGAATTCAAGTCTGGGTCCCCAGAACGTTTTCTTGGTTTCTGGATCAACAGTCCAGTGATAATACCACTAGGCCATTGCCTCCCCCACCCCTCCCCCAACCAAGTCTTTGCATTCCTTTCACAGACAGAGAATCTAATGCCCTAGCTGTTTGACTCCTTATCAAGTTCGAAAGTGAGGAAGAAGTTACAGTCGTCATCCAGCAGCTGGAACAGCACCAAGACCATAGCATGGGAGATTCTGAATTTCCCTGCATTGCTGTTCTGTCGTCCATGTCACTCCTCACCTCCCCCCAACAACCCTTACCTTTACACTGGTATAAAACTTATATTTCTCTTCATTTCTGATGAAAGGTCAGTCGACCAGAAACTTTAGTTCTCTTTGTTTCCTCTGCATGTGCTGTCTGGCCTGCTGAGTTTTTAACCAGGGTTTTTGTTCACTTTCATTGTTGATTTCTAGTGTCCACAGCATTTTGGTTTTGCCTTGGGTCAAAGAGAAGAACTGGACTAACAGGACAGAGTGTAATATTTCCATGTCCTGCTTTCATTCTTAGATTGTAGTCCTCAGTCCTTCTGGGTTTATCCTTGTTTCCTTTTCCACTGGTTTGATATAACTGAAGGCTTCTTTGGCCAATGTAGAGAGCATTTAGGAGAAAACCACACTGGTGTGGAGTTACATATACATCAGATAGATCAGACTTTTTCACTCTAAATACTTTAGCAGACAATGGAGCTTTGGTGACAATCTGACAGTTTCTCATCTTTTTTTCAACTGCTAACACTTCTATTTCTTCGTTTAATAAATCACATACAAATTCTCAACCTACCAGGATGGGTTTTGAAAACATGTTCTATGAACGATTTAGCAGGTCTCTGGATTACTACGTTTTCTGTTTTTCTTTCAGATTTTCACATCTGCAGTATTTTGCTTTTGAACTGCTTTAACTTTCTCTTTCATTCTCATGTTCCATAAATGTAATAGAAACATAGAAGATAGGAGCAGGAGGCGGCCATTCGGCCCCTCGAGCCTGCTCTGTCATTCTTCACGATCATGGCTGATCGTCCAACTCAATAGCCTATTCCTGCTTTCTCTCCATAAGCTTTGATCCGATTCCCACCAAGTGCGAAATCTAGTCACCTCTTGAATACATTCAATGTTTTGGAATCAACTACTTCTTGTGGTAATGAATTCCACAGGCTCACCATTTTTTGGACTTCTCATCTCTGTCCTAAATTGTCTTCCACCTAACCTGCATATCTTTGGACTGTGGGAGGAAACTGGAGCACCTGGCAGAAACCCACACAGACACGGGGAGAATGTGCAAACTCCGCACAGTCAGTTGCCCGAGGCTGGAAAGGAACTTGGGTCACTCGTGCCTTGAAGCAGCAGTGCCACCGTGCCATCCTCATACTGTGACCCCTGGTTCTGGACACACACATCAATTAAATCTCACATTCCCCAATCTGTGAACACTTCATCTGAATCTAACTTCCCAGGATATCACCTGGGTCTCTGGATTTCCTAATCCAGTTATAATACCACTAGGCCACTGCTTCTGCAAATTAAAAATAAATAAAATACAAGTAAATATGTTCTTTTAAAGCAATATTACATCTGTTCAGAGGATATATAGTGTTGCAAATGTCTACCTCGGTTATATGGCTAGTCCAGTTCAGTTTCCAGTCAACTGTAATCTACAGGATATTCACAGCCTGAGACTCAGTAATAGTAATACCATTGAATATAAACAGGGAACACGGACTGCAAATTATCCCCGGCAGAGGAATTACAGAAATTGCGGTAATGGGAAGTGCATCCCATCATGTGGAAAAATGACCTACTCCTGGGATCATTCAGCACATAGTATATTTGGTAAGAAAAACAATGATGTGGTGAAATTCTTTAAGGAAAGCCTTAGAATGGAAGCAATAGATAGATGAAGCATAAATAAAAATATTTTTTAAAACAATATTACATCTATTCCAGGACTGCTGGCTGATCAGAAAAACATATTGCACTGCAATCATCTCACCTGGAGTGATTGCTCTTGTTAACTGCCAAACAGCACTCTTCCACTTGTATTAAAGCACGAGAGAGGAAAATGCCTTTGCTTGATTATTTTAAATTGCAAATACCAATCGATTGCCGGCAAAGAAGTGATTGAGATTAACACAAGGAGCAGAATGTAATATATTGTAAAAATAAATATCCCTTTGAAAATAAATAGTCACCAGGTAATTTGCATTAAAATGTAAAACGACTGACTCATTTGCATTAATTCATATTGACTCGTAATGAGTTGGCACCAGGAGCGCATTTGATTATAATCAGCCTGATAGTGTTGCTCGGGCATTCACTCCATCCCAGGTTCTTGGTCTAGTTGGTAATTGGATGTAACCTTTCAAACTGCAGTGACAATAACAATCTGACAGAGTGAAAATGATCCTTATGGCCATGCATTACTCAAGTGCATCCTCTGAGTACTGAGTGGCGTATAAATATCTATGGTATGAACTGGAGAACTGCTTAAATGATTTCTCTGATTGTTATCTCAACATTTTGCAGGTCAGCCAATTAAGCTTGATATATGATAGGAATTGAATGGAGACACAGTGAGGTAGAAGTAATGTCACTGAACTAATGAGGTTTACGTTTGGAGCATGGGTTAAAAGCCTACCTAGGCAGCTGGTGGAATTTAACTTCAGTTAATTATTAAATTCAACCAAAATCTAGAATTGAAAGCTAGTCTCAGTAGTGGTGCCATGAAGCTATCATTGATTGTCATGAAAATCCGTTTGCTTCACGAATATCTCTTGTGGTAAGAGATTGGCGGTTGTTACATGATAGCTTTTCCTGATGCATATTAATGACTGAGATCTTAGTGTGCAGAACAACTGTAACTGAGAGCACAATTCAATGGGAAGAACTAAGATTTGTAATTCCAGATAACACACATTAAGCAGCGTACATTCATCTCAGCTAAAGCAAGTCTAAAGTTTGACCTAGGAACCTAGGCCTATTTGAAACTTGATTCACATTTACCTGTTCACTGAAATGGCCGAGCAAGCTACTAAGTTATAGCAAATTGTGACAAAAAACTGTTGTTTCAAACTACTACAGCAAAAATCAAAAAGGAATAAAATAGTACAGACAACCTAGAATTGATTTAAGATCAATTTCGTGGCTTTCTTATCATTCTGTCCTTTTTTCAACCTCCTGGGTTGATGGGGTCATTCTCGTTCGTGTCTTTCAGTCTGGACTTGACATCAATTGGAATGTTCATAAGCAGATGCGGAGTTGGTCTCACACCCTCATCATATTCACAGGAAGACATCTAAGTCCTATAAAAACATCCTTTAAGATCTGTTCAGCAGTCAAAGGCTTAGAACATAAAACATAGAA